GGTCGTGAAAAGACTAAAGTGTATTTGCTTTTGAGCATCTCATTTGACATAATCTTTGATATGATATTGCCCAACGTAAAACATATAGTGTGTTGATTAGAAAAACAGCGCCCCAACAACAAAAAAGATATCAGACAATCAAAATATTCATACATTTTATATGTGAGCTAATTTTTTAGGAATGACTCTAGATCAGGCATGAACACTAGGGGGCACTACACATCAAATGAACTAATCACGAAAATCTCTGCATGGATGTATGACTGACTTACTTCAAGTTTGCCGACATCCAACAACGATGGATAAGCTGTGAAATGATCAGCCTCTTCTGACAGAGTAGTTGTGAGAACATGAAACAGCTCATGGGCATCCTACAAACCAAATATGAACAAATTATTGTTAGTATTTAAAACAATGTATTCTAACACATTATAAAATATTGCATGGCTAATTCCAACCATATGTTGCATAGCTAATATCGGCATGAGTCTCACGGCTCAATATGAGTCACATGAATGGACAATGCAGTCAGTTGGTTTACAAGTGATAATAAAATAAATGTGATTATGGTTACCAATATGGGGACAGCCATCTTGAATATGGCTTGAAACTAAATAAAGGGACAAATTGAGGTTATTATTTTTCAACAAATGAGAGGGAAAATACCAAACTTTCACGAGCAACTGGTTCATTAGAATAACATGCATTGTTTTGCATAGATAAATATAAATCCCTTGCATACTAACACTTCATTACACAGCATTCTAGAATATTTTCTAGAAGTATTTGAAACCAAAATCAGCGAAGGCCTTACAGTTGGAAGATGATTTTGTATAATCAGTTTGAATGGCCTACACTTTATTTGAGTAATTTAATTTAAATTTTGGCTGCTATGAATTTTTACGATTTTGGGACTTTGGTGGCATTCGTGTAGGCAAAATATTGCATAAATCACAGACTCTTCATGTCATAGGATTCAAAACAAATTTTCTCTAGTACAAAATTTTGTGATTTTCACTGATTTGCCCAGTCTTGGTTACAAATAACCCCTGGTATTCTTTTCATTGAATGCAGAATTATTGTAATATCATATGATGAAAATAGAATTCATCTTGATAACAGAACACAAATGTTTACAAAGCACAAAACGTAATCCATATAAATTTAGGTTTTTCTTGTCTCACTAAATTCTTACTATACAAGCAGTATGCAATTACTGTAAAAAGGTTAATTACTCACTGGGTTTTATTTTGCTTATTTCGCTGACTGGAAAATGTGCTAAATTAAAACCCAGTGAATATGTAAAATTTAGCATAAAACACATTATCTAAATGATAAAAGCGTGAATGTAAAACCCACTGAATATGCCTGAAATGGTAAATCAGCGAAATTTTAACCCAGTGAAAATTAGTCATTTTACAGTGGATAAGATACTGTACTTTCCAGTATTTTTATGACAACCTCAAATTATAATAATAGTATGGCTGAATTTTGCACATATATGCTTGTTTACGCCTCTGTGAAGTTTATTGCTGTGTTTTTTAATAGAGCGAATAAGATCCCTGTTTTTAGCATGTAGGTTATTCAGTACATACAATGTACAGTATAGTGCTGGTGCAACTCAACTTTGAAACTGACTATCAGCTGGCAATAATTTCAATTTTTTTCTTTTTTGTAATATTTACCTATGTTACTAATATTAAACATATTTAGTCAGAGAACTATGCATAATTATATAATATATAAAGATATGTGGCAGTTTTAAAAAGCAAACCATTGCTAGCTTTAGCTCAAAGCTAACTAAATGTTAAGTTATGTTCGGACCACACTGTCTATGCATATGTAGTATCTACCTATATTAATAATATGAAACATACTCCTCAGCAAAATTTAGATATGCAGCCATTTTGAAAGCCAGCTTAGTTAGTTAAGTGTTAAAGCGGGGGAGTCGTCACCTGCGCATGCGTCAGATGGCCATATCGTGTCATTGTTTACAAAAAAGCGTCTACCCAAGAGCCTTTGCGTTTTAACGTGTGTTGTCATCGTAGCTTGGGACTCAATTCCCACGTGTGTGCAGGTGACAACCCTCTCGCTTTAAGTTACGCTCGGGTCATACTGTCCTTGTGTACATGCAGACTCTGTGACGTACCTGTTCTTCCCACGATATCACCCAGTTTCTAACACGCAATGCATTTAGCACTTCAACAGGATTATATGGATCATCAGAATTCTGACTGTCATTGCAAAGTACTGAAAATAGCAGAAAAGAATTTTTGAGTTTTATTTTTAAATATTTATTCACTTCAGCATAATAATTATTTTAGTACCAAAACAATTTGTTGTATTCAAATTCAATGTGTATTTCTAAAATCATTCAAACATCCCCTGGCTTCAAATTAAATTTACTGCACACATTATGTAGAATTATAATAATACGTGTTGCCCCTTGTTGAAACACCATATTCTCATTGGCCAATCAGTGAGCATGTTGCATTTCTTGTAAACTTCTACACATAACATTCACAACACACTAACCACACTTTTTTTCAACATCTCAAACTACCACAGCACATATATTATATATTTTTTTTTTTTTTTCAACAGTCCATGGTATAATTGAAATAAAGGACTCCCCCACACTGTATAAAATCACACTTAAAGGCTCAAATCTCACCTTTCATAATTCGGATCAAAGTATATGCCATATACTGTGAACAGTCATCATTGGAGTGTGAATTGATATAGTCATCTAACCAGCTAACAAAGGATGGACAGGATGCTAAACTTTGTAAGATAGCATTGAGAAAACATGTGTTGCCTTGATTCACTAAGCCGGGGCATTTGCCTGTCGAGATAAATTTATTTAAGCACATCAATAAAGACTCATACTGTGCTGCAACCTGATGCAATTTTATTTGGTTGTCTTTCGGTTGAAAAACTCATATTTTAATTATTATACGCTTTTCACAAACCTGTGTTTGACTGCCCAGAAACATTTATTAATTAACGCCACATCAATGTACTGTCTTTGAATTTTCTCAATTTGAGGATTTATTAAATTCAAAAAGACTAAAACTCGAGAAAATCACTAACATTAAAAAATATTCACTGCTACAAAATTTCACTAGTTTTACTGATAGACAAAATTTCGCGAAAATTAATGCTGTTTACAGTAGCCACAGAGCCTAAATCCAATGCATTATGTAACTGGTTGTTGAGGTGTTAAAATAATATCAAAATCTTAAACTTATGGCTATATAAACTCTTTGGTAACACCCCTTATATCATGGTTAAAAATAGATCACATAAAAAATACATGTAATAATAAAAGCTTAAATTGAATTGATTTTATATGGTACAAGTAGTTTTCACTAGAGTAGATGTATTAAATTAACAGAACATATTTATCAGCTGCATAATAGTTTAAATCAAAGTGATACATACTTTTGTGGAATTGTATTGCAACGATATGCATCTGCTAAGATATGTCATTGTAGAGTCAAATAATTTTACAATCGTCCTTTCAATTACGTTCAATTTTTGGAAAAAAAATAAATAGAAAAAACAAACAAAAAACACGCCGTTGTTATATGGTATTTACTATAAATCAATATTTGTTTCGAAAACATGGTTTTACGTAATTAATCTTTCAGATGAACAACAAAACAAAGATTATCAGAACAAACCAACGGGACATCTAACATAAATTGCGCGGAAAGTGAAATTCCATTAATTCTGTACATTACCTTTTTTCTTTCTTGTGTGCGTCACACGAAACTGCGGGCCCCAGAAAACATATAAACCGACAGCGAAAGCAGCCGCAACCCCGCCGAGTAGTCCAATGTCTTTAGATGAAACTCTAAAAAATGACATTGCTGTTCATTACATGGTGCACACTCAAAAGTGCGTGTTACAAAAAATGGATTCCCGGGGGTGTATTACGCAATCTGTTTTCGTGTTCTCGCACGATCGTCGCGGGGGTAAATCAGTTAATCAGCTCAGTAAAGTCTCTTCCAGGCTATCCCGACAAGTGGGAACACATTCAGCATTCAATTAGGACCAATGTGATGGTAGAATTCAAAACTGTACATGCGATCCTCGGCACAAAACAACACGACTCAAAAAGAACGATGAACTTTCACCTTTTACCCGGAAGTAGATGTCAATAGGTCGACAGTTCAGGAAACGAGTGACATTACAAATAGTGCCTGGATACTTATATATGAACGATGTCGATCAGTGGACAAGCACTCTTGCCACCCATCCAATGTGACGAATATCAGTAGTGACTGATGTCAGCTGTTTTAATAATAACGGAGTAAAATGGCTGGATCGTCTTCCATGAGAATGCCAGCAAACACGTCTTTGAAAATCAAGGTAAGATTGGAGCACTGATGGAATCATGATTTCCGGAAATGTCATGGCTGCCACAATAGTGAAAACAGTTATTCTGTTTGTCCACAATAACGCAAATATTTAATTTTAATATTGTATCTGATGTAGACCAGTTAAATTTAAATCGACCAGGTAGAATTTAGCTGCAGTTCTGTAGCTCGCTGTAGCAAGCGAGCTAGTACAGAACTGCAGCTAGGTAGAATTTAAAATTTCCAATCAATTTCATTCGTCTGTTCCTGTGCATGATATATCTGTGATCTGACAGGTTTGGTTATTCTAAATTTGTTTGCTTATAGATAATAATGGGAAAACGTATAGCCCTGGGTTGGCCAGGTAAGGATCATACAATAAAATGTAATTTGCAAAAAAAAATAATAAAAAAAAAAAATAAACAAATTTGCCTCCCCAGCACAGTGATCATTGTTGTCAATTTCAAATTCAATATCAGAATAGGTACTTGCCCTAGCCATGGAGGTAAAAAGAGATCTTTTTACCTCCATGCCCTAGCTGATTAGAAAATAACATTGCCCATTTTCAACACCCCAGAAATGAGGGCGCACTAAAATTGACCGAAGTAGCAGCATGAAAATACTACTCTATAACCTTTAAATTGTTTTCGGATATTCACTGATATTTGATATCTTATTGACCTGTTTGATATGAAACCCGTAGAAATAAACAGACGACAAACCGTTCAATTGGCACTGCTAGAGATGGTGTTTTGAAGACAAAAATTTGCGAAAATCACTGCTACAAAACTTCGTTATTTCCATTGTCTCATGATTTACAAACATGTTATTGTTGTGAAAGTAAATCAGTTTACAGAGTACAACACATGCAAAAATCATCATTCACTTACACAAAATTTGAACATGTGCTATGGGACAACCCTCTCCTTTAAATATAGAGATTTTTCAGTAAAAACAAATTCTATTGTAATTTTATTTATATGGTTAATACTGTGATCTTGCTGACTTTCACTTGGCTTGACATTTTTTTATTTGAGTGTAATAATAATATTAATAATTATTGTAAATCTGTCACCGAAATGCCATAAGTTACGACGTAGCTCTGTTGCATGTCGGTAAATACTTCCACTGTACTGTCTTCGTGCATACTTTAAGGTATCCTCGTAATAACCTCATATTAATGCAACAAGCCTTTTTAGTTTTATTCACTATAGTATGCCTTCTACAAAAATTACAGCTGTTTTTATAATATATATCGAGGTAACTGATTTATTGATTGCAATTTCCTATTGAAATCAGCAAATATAAATCAGCTAGTAAATTTATTAGACTTGTCATTTCAATATAAATGAATTTCAAAATCAAAGCATCAATTGAGAATTGACCAGAATCGTTATTTTGTTCATGGCAGGCTGATGAACAATTTGTTTTAATCATTACTTGTTATTAATTTTTCTTAATTATTCGGTTCTTTTAATTTTATTCCTTCAGAACTATTCTATATTAGAAGACTATTCCGTCAATTGGTCTCAAAAATTAGGCACAGGAATTAATGGGCCTGTGAGACCCTGTACAAAACTCTCTACTGGTGAACGATTTGCTCTTAAGGTATTGTTGGATAAACCCAAATCTCAGACAGAAGTCAATTTACATGTACAGTGCAGTGGGCATGCTAATATTGTCACTGTGTACGATGTCTATGCAAATGATGTGCAATTTCCTGGGGAAGAGTATCCTCGTCCACGGTTGCTAATGGTGATGGAGCTGATGGATGGAGGGGAGCTGTTTGACAGGATTAGTCAAAAAAGAGGTTTTACAGAAAAGCAAGCTGCCATGTATGCAAGACAGGTATGGGAATCAAGAATAAACCTTAGACTAAAATGGTTTTTAAAATTTTGTTGAGATTGAGAGAGTGTTTCATTTTCTACATTTCTACTATTCACGCTTCAAATTGCCATGGTTACATATGTCAGGAACACAGTGGGTGCAATGAAAGGAGACAAAGAGACATTATTTGAGAGCAAAGTCTTCATCTCAGCAAAATCTCAATGACCATTCTCACTATGGTCTAATAATTTTTCATAGAGATTCACCTCGGTGTCAAATTACTGCAAGCCACATTAATTCAATATAAACGAATCCTCAGGAATTGTTTAATATATTTGATGATACAAAACTTATGCATAGCATTGCAGTTACAAGCTATCATTAGGAACATGGTTACTCTTTTTTAGTAACCGTGTTACTAAGTACAACAATTTTACTCTTAATTTTATTAACTCCCATGTGTTCGAAACAAGGTTTCAAAAAGTTTTCAGCGGATATTGATCAAATTTGGTATATATTAGTATCTTGGAGTAATATACAGACATGGTTAGTTTCAGGGCCATGTATGTGCATATCTAAAAGATAATTTGCATAATAATTACCTCATATAATAATATGATGTGTAAGGCGTTTCTAATGGAAATATGCATGTAATTAATCATGAGTGTACTTATGTACTTAATATCTGCTGTTTATGATTCTAACCTTCAGGTGTCATTGCTCTTTCATTGACTGTTAGGAATTTCATTTTCTAGATATATTTTTTTCAAAACAACAATGATTGCATATAACCTATATTTACAAGGGAGCTTTGCTGAGTTCAAGCTTTGATTTCAATTTCTGCAGCATTACTCTTATTAATTCTGCTCAAGAAATAGTATATGCTGTAAATAGTGCTTTTAATTTAATTTCTTCTATATTTCGAAAACATTAGGAGGGTGATACAACATTCATGTAATGGCACACATTGTATTCCCCATTAGTAAATTTAGTACTGAGTAACATGATTCCATCTTAACAATTACATTGAATTATTTGAATACAAAATTTATGAAATGCTTTACTGAGAAATTTGACACATTGTGATAATTTTGCAAATAATGTTTCTTGGGATCAGTGGATATGTACTCATGCTTGATATTTAATTATTCAAGTACCCTTATTATCTAAAGTTTATACATTGTGATTTGAGACAGTTTTGACTGAAATATCGATTATTCATTCAATTACTGAAGACAACAATATGATATTTTGAGTCTTAAATCTAAAGATTTAAATTAAAGTCTGAACACCTTAAATAATATCATAAGACAACAATGTTGGGTTTCCTTTCATTTATTTAATAAATTACTTATTATAAATTCCTGTGTATCATTTTTTCCACTTTGTTCCTAGATTGCTTTTGGTATTCAGCGTTGTCACATGTTGAATATTGCACATCGGGATATAAAGCCTGAAAACTTGTTACTCAAAGATAATTCTGAGGTATGGATGGTGTTCATATTTAGGTATTGAATAAATACAATTTTCTTTTTGCATATCAGTATAGTTCATAGTTGACAGTCCAGTTGCTTGATTTTGCTTGCCACTGCTTTTTTCCCCCCTGATATATTATCTATATTGTATAGTGTGTTATACTAACGATAGTACGCCATGCCCGATATAATTCTCACAAAAAAAATTTATTTTGGTAATTTTGCACATCTGCAGTTAAACCCATGCCTGTCACAACTTTTTTTTTTGTTTTGTCAGAATTTTAGAGAAAAAATATTAAAAGCACAAATTTGAGAATAAGAATAAAGTGTATGTCTATTTTAGTAAACAAATTGATGGAAACATTTTTGTTTTTGTTAATTTATAAGCAATGACAAATTATTATTATATCTATGGTCCCCTTAATCATTTTCTTGTGTAACAACTTCTCTAGTTTACTTGTAATTAATACATATGAAAATTTCTGCTTACAATCCGTATGAAACATGTGTTTTGATCATTTTGTGCACGTTTATATGCTTAATGCAATTTATACTAAATAATTCTCTCACCTTATGCCGAAAATAACAAGTAGGACCACCTAGCTTCATCATTAAACTTAATAAATTAAATAAATAACATAATTTCTACCCAGAATGCTTGTCATCTTTACTTGTTTTCAACTATATTTGTGCATCTATTATTGCACTAGGATTCCCCTGTGAAGTTAACAGACTTTGGTTTTGCTAAAGTTGACGATGGTAACTTGGTAACCCCGCATTACACACCCTACTACGTATCACCTCAAGTTTTAGAAGCACAGCGACAACAACGAAGAGAACAACGTGGTATTATACCCACAACAACGCAATATACTTATGATAAGGTACATTACACAATTTTTATCATTTTCACTTAAATTTTTAAACGAGTTGTATTTCATTCCTGATTTCACTGTTACAAATTTCTGTAAGAAAATGAGTGAGAATATTATCTCTAATAATTCATTGTTTAGTCGGTGGATGTATCATGATAAAAAATATTGTATTTTTGCTATAAAAGGTGCATTTCTAATAGAATTGCACATAAACTAAAAACTGCATTTAATCTATGCAAGATATAAAATAAGAAAATATATTGACCATAGTTTCACATATGTCATTTTCACAAATGTGCACATGACTAATATAACAAATACCCAATACATGCATTATCATTTTTTCTTCACAGAGTTGTGACATGTGGTCCCTGGGTGTGGTACTTTACATTATGATGTGTGGATACCCTCCTTTCTATTCTGAAACACCATCAAAGACAATAACTAAAGACATGAAGCGACGGATCATGGCTGGAGAGTATGAATTCCCGTCTGATGAATGGAATATTATATCTAGACAGGCAAAGGACATAATTAAAGGGTGAGGATACAAATTTTGATAATATGAGGTTATTACGAGAATACCTTAAAGTATGAACAAAGACAGTACTGCTGGAGTATTGACTGTCACCCAGCGGAGGTCGATGCGCGACATACTGTCTGAGTGCATACTTTGAGGTATTCTCGTAATAACCTTATTATTATACATCTTTTTCATCCAAGGATACATCATGGGAATGCCAAAATCCAAAAAGTTTAGAACAGAATCAGCGAACTTCTTTGTGTTGAGTCCAGTCAAACCCTGGTGGCAGCCATGTCTGTTTTTATTATTAGAGGATGCTTACGTGCGTAATCATTCCATATTTTGAATTTGCATTTCCTTATATGGTAGGGTGAAAATACCCCGTAAAATAACGCAAAATTACGTCACGATGTAACTTATGTTACGGTGACAGATGTATAATAAATAATAATAATTTTATTTTATTTGTTAAATCATGAGTGTCATTTAACTAATTAAGCAACACTACATAGTATGATGTGCAATGTTGCTGTGTTATGCTGTACATCAGGACTGTGGGTTTTATGGTCACCAGTATGTGCAGTACAGGGTTAAATACACCTACACTATGCACCTGTCAATTTGATTTCAGTACTGCATTTGAAGAGAAAAAAATAAAACTAACATATATTCACTGTGTTTTTTTTACGTTTAGTTTGCTGTGTGTGGTAGCATCAGAAAGAATGAATATTGAGGAGTTTCTGAGTCATCCATGGTTGCAATTATCAACTACATTACCCAATATGCAATTGCATTCACCATCACTGTTGCTGGACAAGGTATGAATTAATAATGCATTATTAATTAACATATGTGTAGGCTGAAAAATTTAGTAAATATACCCAAATTTTGCGTTTTATGTTAATGTGGTATTCCATTTAGTACATTGTAGACTCAAAGCTTGTTCTTAAGCTTTTTACCGCCAGACTTGCTTGCCCAAATTTTTCTGAAATTTGTTCCTAAATTTTTCAATATTTTGAACCAACA